CGGATGTCCGATACGTGCCCAGTTTGAAGAAAAATCTCATCTCGTTGGGAGCTTTAGAATCCAAAGGCTCAGTAGTCAATATGAGAGATGGAGTTTTTAAAGTCACATATGGCGCACTTGTGATGATGAAGGGCATCAGGAAAAATAATTTGTATTACTACCAAGGTAGTACAATTATTGGAGCAGTTGCAGCAGCTTCCGGAGGTGATGATTTGGACGCAACCCAGTTGTGGCATATACGGTTGGGATATGCTGGAGAGAAATCCTTGCAAATTCTGGCAAAGAAAGGATTGTTGAAAGGTGCAAAGGCTTGCAAATTGAACTTTTGCGAGCATTGTGTTCTGGAAAGCAGAAGAGAGTGAAGTTTGGCACCACTATACATAATACAAAAGGTATTGCAGATTATATTCACTCAGATGTATGGGGTCCTTCAAAGACATCGTCTTTGGGAGGAAACCATTATTTTGTAACTTTTATAGATGACTTTTCCAGAAGAGTTTGGGTGTATCCGATGAAGTGCTTCAAATTTTCCTGAAATGGAAAAATATGATCGAGAACCAGACTGGTAGAAAGATCAAACGTCTTAGGATGGAAAATGGAGGGGAATATAAAAGTGACCCATTCTTTGACGTTTGCCTTGAGTATGGTATTGTTCGACACTTCACTGTTAGACATACACCACAAAAAAATGGGGTGACAGAGCGTATGAATCGAACACTATTGGAGAAAGTTCGATGTATGTTGTCTAATGCTGGGTTAGGCAAGGTATTTTGGGCTGAGGCTGTGACATATGCTGTCCATCTCATTAATCGTCTGCCGTCATCAGCGATAGGAGGAAAAATACCATTAGAGGTATGGTCTGGAAAACCTGCTACTGATTATGATTCCTTACATGTATTTGGATCCACTGCTTATTATCATGTGAAGGAATCCAAGCTTGATCCGAGAGCAAAGAAGGCTCTTTTTATGGGAATCACCCATGGAGTGAAGGGATTTCTCCTTTGGTATTTAGACACCAAGAAGATAATTTGTAGCGGAGATGTTACCTTTGATGAATCTGCCCTAGTAAAGAAGGTAACAAGTGAAGATGTCCACAAGTAGTACTCCGCAGCAGGTGGAGCATACTCCAAAATAGGTGGAGTTTCAGGAGATGATAATCCCAGAAGTTGATGCAGCTGATTCTTCAACTCCAATAGAAGAATCAGAAGATGAATAGGTTCAAACCCAAGAACCATTGGAGACACAAGAAACACTTGCAGTTACAAGGCCAAGGAGAGAAATTCGTAGACCTGCTCGATTTGTTGATATGGTGGCCTATGCTCTTCCAATTTTTGATGATGATATCCCTATCACTTACCAAGAAGCAATACAAAGCTTGGAAAGTGATAAGTGGAAAAGTGCATGGATGAAGAAATGCAATCTCTCCAAAAGAACAACACTTGGAAACTGGCACAATTACCGAAAGGTAAAAGAGCCATTGGATGCAAGTGGGTATTTGTAAAGAAAGATGGATCTCATAGCAAGAAAGATGTTCGCTACAAGGCACGGTTGGTAGCTAAAGGCTACGCGCAAAAGGAGGGAATTGACTACAATGAAGTATTTTCCCCTGTTGTGAAGCATTCCTCCATTAGAATATTGTTGGCCTTGGTAGCACAGTTGAATTTGGAGCTAGCTCAACTTGATGTAAAGACGGCTTTCTTGCACGGTGATTTAGAAGAGGAGATCTATATGACTCAGCCAGAAGGATACAAAGATGGTGGTTGTGAGAAATGGGTTTGTAAGATGAACAAATCGCTATATGGATTGAAGCAATCTCCGAGGCAGTGGTACAAGCGATTTGATAGCTTTATGAGGAGGCAAAAGTATACTAGAAGAAAATATGATCATTGTGTGTATTTGAAAAAGCTCAAAGATGGATCTTTCATTTATCTTCTCTTGTACGTTGACGATATGTTGATCGCTTCGAAGAGTCAAAAGGAGATAGACAAATTAAAGGCTCATTTGAATCAAGAGTTTGAGATGAAAGATCTAGGTGAGGCCAAGAAGATTCTTGGTATGGAGATAAACAGAGATAGACAGAGAGGAAAGCTTTGTTTAACATAGAAGCAGTATCTGAGAAAGGTATTACAATGTTTTGGCATGAATGAAAATACCAAACATGTAAGTATCCCATTGGCTTCTCATTTGAAACTTAGTTCTCAATTATCTCCTAAAACTAACGAAGAACGAGTGTATATGGCAAAAGTTCCATATGCTAATGCAGTTGGGAGCTTGATGTATGCAATGGTGTGTACTCGTCCTGACATTTCACAAGCAGTTGGAGTTGTGAGCAGGTACATGCATGATCCTGGAGAAGGACATTGGCAAGCTGTGAAATGGATTCTACGGTATCTCTAACAAACCGTGGATGTTGGTTTAGTTTTTGAACAGGATGAAGCACTTGGTCAATATGTGGTTGGATATGTTGATTCCGATTATGCTGGTGATTTGGATAAGCATCGATCAACTACTGGGTATTTGTTTACTCTTGCTAAAGCCCAGTAAGTTGGAAGTCTACATTGCAATCTACGGTGGCCTTGTCTACTATAGAGGCAGAATACATGACAGTTTCAGAGGCTGTAAAGGAAGCAATTTGGCTTAACGGGTTGATGGAAGACTTGGGAGTTGTTCAAAGTCACATTAGTCTCTATTGTGACAGTCAGAGCGCTATTCACTTAGCGAAAAATCAAGTCTACCATTCAAGGACTAAGCATATCGACGTGAGGTATCACTTTGTGCGGGAGATCTTTGAAGAAGGAAAGATTCTACTTCAGAAAATTGCGATATCAGAAAATCCTGCAGATATGATGACCAAGGTGGTAACAGTAATCAAGTTCAATCATTGTTTGAACTTGATTAACATCCTGAAAGTATGAACACCTTCGGGTGTGTAGCGCTTGTGAGCGCAATTAGAGGCACTACAAATTTGGGGAGTTGAAGAAGTTGAGTAGGCTTGGTAATTTCAAGCCAGGTGGAGATTTGTTAGATTTGTCTAGAAATTAAGTTGACAAGTTGGAAATTTCATCTTGGTTGGTGGCCAACTTATTGGAAATTTCATATTGGTTGGTGGCCAAACTTTGAACATGTGAATTTCATATTTGGTGGCTAACTTGTACACATTGGAAAATTCTTTGGTAGGTGGCCAAACTTTGAACATATTGTTCTTGAAACTCAACTATAAATAGGCCTAAGTATTTCCATTAGAAATAATCCCAAAAACAAGTTCTCTCTTCCTCTTGTATTCTTCATTCTCCTACTTTGGGAATTCCAAAGAATTCCATTTTTTGTAATATTGGTGATATAGTGAAGTTATCATCCGGTGTGTTGCCCGAGGAGTAGACGATATTCTCGTCGAACCTCGTAAATTTGGTGTGTTCTCTCCTTTATTGTTTTTTTATTCGGTTCTTTTTCATTGTGTTTCAATATTCAATAGTTTGACAGGTTTATCCGCTGTGCAACCTTTGGTGGTTTTAATCTTGACATTTTAGGTCAATTTTAAAACTAAGTTCGTGTGAGAAATAACCCGTTTTCCCCAACAGCATGGGCAGATGAAACAGATTCCCAGGCAGCACATAATGGGGCAGCGGCGCATGTTGCAATTTGTCCGAAGAATGGCACTACCAATGCTGTGGAGGAAGTTAGTTTGGCGCAAGTGAGTCCTTTAGTGGAATTGTGTGTTGTTTTCGATGGTAAACCGCTAGAGGATTTTAATGCTTTGGAGGATTATAGTATGACATACGTGGGTCCTACGGATGGGGCTAAGAACAAGGTTGCACATGTTGAAATGTGTCAGAGGAGCGGCAATTCTATTGCTTTGGAGGATATTAGTATGGCGCACGTGGGTCTTGTAACGGATTTGGGTGCTTCTCTCGATGATTATGCGTCAGATGCTCCATTTACGCCTACTGATAGGATTAAGAACAAGGTTATTGTTGAAAGTATTGGACGCTGTGCTTTAATCAAAGAAGTTGATCTTCGGAAGACACAATCTTTATCTAACATTCAAAGGCTTTTGGAGTTTCCCAGTGCAGAGTTATGTTCATTCAGGAAAACGGTTGTGGGGCCTTTGTCTAAGTCTCCTGTAAGGGTTAATTCTGCTCACCCAAGAGAACAAGAGTTGTTCACGAAGAAAAAAATGAAGAAGATTAAATTTGGCTCCTTATTGAATATTCAGGATAAAGTCCTAACGAAAGCTGAGAAGAAAAGAACAGATCGAGCGTTGAAGCGATTCAAGTTGGCGAAATCTGATCTTCTCTCCTCTGAATTATCTGGTAGACCTCTTTCAGATTCAGATTTGAAGAAAAGGTGGGCTGTTGTTTCTGTAGGAACAGAAGAGATTCTGCCATTAGGGGTTGCGTGAGGTCTAAGGTTCTGTTCTAGGAGGCTAAAGTCTTGTCGGTTGAGAAGTTAGTTTCGGGTGGATTGCTCCTAGTTTACTTCAATTGTTCTGACTTTTGCCGAAAGAAGATTCAATAGCGTATGAGCGTCAAGGTTGGAAGGACTAGTCTCATAGGAGCTAGTAAAGGAAGTTTAGGCTGTATTTTGCGTGCTGGGTTGAGGATCGATGGAGTCATGGTGTTCTGTAGTGTTTAGCAGGTTTGGTGAACCTGGTTCTTGCTGTTGTTCGGTCACTCCCTATTGCTGTTGTGTTCGCTTAAATTCAGTTGTTGTTGTCCATTCTGTTCTTAGTCTCTTTATGCTCAATGGAATGGATTGTATGGGTGTTTGTGTGAGTTTGTTGTGGTTTGGGGTTTGCATTTTTGTTGCAAGTGCTATCCTTGTATTGGATCTCTTCCACCTCTTGGTTCACTCTTTTTCCTCCATTTAGGATTAGGGAGGTTTTTTAATGTGGACCTTGAGGTGGTGTACTTTGCATCTCTTAATACAAAGTACCCTCTTTCAAAAAAAGGAACAATAACTTTCATGGTAAACAACCACAAAGTTTTGCTAAAGGCTGCACGATGAGAGGTTTTCGCATCAGTAACAACCAAATAGAAGGGTCACTGCCACGATCTTTGAGTCATTGCAAAGATTTAAGACTTTTCGACGTCGGAAACAACGATTTAACCAACGCTTTCCCGAAATGGTTACGAAATTTGAATCATTTACAAATTCTTATCTTGAGATCGAACAGATTCTATGGTCAAGTGGATGACTCTGATGTTGCAGTTTCCTTCACTCGTTTGCGTGTCATTGATCTTTCTCACAATAATTTCAGTGGCTACTTACCCACCAAATTCTTTGAAAATTTGCATGCCATTAGAGAAGGGTTGGAAATGGAGTACATGATAGATAGAACGACCGATGGAACGATGTATTATGTGGATGGTTTATCTTTTGCAACAAAAGGGTTGGAAATGGAGGTTCACTCACTATTAACCATTTGGATGGTAATTGATTTTTCGGACAATCGATTCTTCGGAGAAATTTCCAAAATAATTGGTGAGTTTCGTTCATTTATTGTCCTAAACTTCTCCCATAACTGTTTAACAGGTTCTATCCCGTCATCATTAGGTGATTCAATGTTTTTAAAATCAGACCGGACATTGAACCGGTGAAGGTACTGGTTCACAGGTTCAACTAGATTCAACCGCGGTTGAACCGGATTTTATATAAAATAATTTTTTTTTAATTTTACATAATATTCAAAGGAATATTAATATATATGTAATACTTTTTGTAAGTTTACAATATTAAAAGGTATAAAAATATCACAAGTCATAACATATATAAATTAAAAACCATAAAATCAAGTGAAACAAAATGATTCAAATCAACTACAACATAATATTTAAGGTAAAACATATTAAATAATAAATATAATTATATAACTATAATCAAAAAAATAAAATTGGGGCTTAAAAAAATCATAACAAATGATGTCATTTGGTTTAATTTTTTTTTAAAATAAACAATCTCACGTGACTAAGAAACATAGAAGAGCATCCCAAAAGTTTAAAGAGTAAAAATATGAGAACAAAACAATCTCACATGGCTAAGAAACATAGAAGAACATCCCAAATTACTTCTATAAATAATAGAGGTAATTTGACATTCAAAATAATGGAGCCTTTTGGTGAGTACAGAGCGAACTATTCTTTCGCTTCAATTGAGCTCAAATTTTAGGCTTCAATTGAACTTTTAAATTTTTTGAGTTCGAGCCTTTTCGAGTTCAAGTTTTAATATTATATTTCGAGTTCGAGTTGAACTTGATAATTTTTAACTCGTGAGTTTTTTAGTTGAGTTGAGCTTACTTTTAAAGTTTTTGAGTTCGAGTCGAGCTCAGCAATACTTGAATTTGACTTGGCTCATTGAACAAACGACGTCATTTGGTTTAATTTTTTTTTAAAAGAAAAAAAAGTGAATCTGCGGTTCAAACAATTTGATACTTGGATTCTTGGCAGTGTTAAACGTTTCTCATAATAATCTTATGGGACTCATTCCTCAAGGCAAACAATTTGATACTTTCACTGATGAATCCTACCTAGGAAACTTGGGTTTATGTGGATTGCCATTATCAACAAGGTGTGATAATGATGAGGGAACTCCAAACAATTTCAATAGAGATGATGAAGATGATGAATTGAATTGGAAATTTTCTATATTGATTGGATATGGATGTGAGTTAGTGGTGGGACTGAGCATGGTATACATTGTATTCACAACTGAGAAACAATGGTGGTTCGTTAGGGTTATTGAGAGAGTTCAACAAAGATTTACAAAAATTCGAACTCTTTCGCTGATGTTTTGCAAAAGAATGCGTGAACAGAGCAGAAAAGTTCATTGCTTGGAGATAGGGGAGCCTTTTCCTATTGCTATTTTACATTTGTCTTGTTTCATGTTGTGTTGTGTTGTATCATGTTTTCTTGGTGTTTATTCTATTCACAAACGCCAAGATTCCAATCACTAATATTGCTTAAGAAATCTAGTATCTCATTCCACTAGATTAACTTGTTGTTGGTTGTTTTAGTTGTTATTTAATTTAAGTAATTTTCACTCTTAAGATTTATTTCTAAATTATATAGTTATTTTCTCATAGGTGGTTTTATAGCATTCTTGTTATAAATTATATACATTTCTTTAAACTTCTAAATTATATACATTTCTAAAGTTATGAAATTAAAATAAGATTCGAATCACTAATATTCACAAAAGCCAAGATTCGAATCACTAATGTCTCTGTTTAAATCTTTAAAATTTTTACTGAAATGAAAAATAAATTTTAATATCATGTTTATCATTCTTGTTCAAATTTAATAAAAATATTATATTTATAATTAAACATTAAATACTTAATTGAAAAACCTGTTTGGGATGATCATGTCTGCTGGTGATCGTACATGGCTTCATTTTGCAATCTATTGGGGTATATTTTGTATAAGTCTGCTGGTGTTCGAGCTTGGATTCTTTGCAATCTATTTTTTTTTTTTTTGGATCAACTTATTGTGCATGTGATCGATCTTGGCTCCATTCTTGTGAAAAAGCTTGTTGTGTATTCACTCATCACATTGTCTTTTTGGTGGCGGTCTGCTTGAGTACAATACGGTTTCGTGATTGTCTTCCTTATTAGTCGAGCACTCGAGTTTTATTGAGGAGGGGATACCAAAGAGGGATCTGCTGGTTGTATGGGAGTTCTTCGATCAAAATCGAGTCTTGCTTTAGCATTTTTCTATGGTCAGTTTTTTTCTTAGACGTGGTGGTGTTGGAAATTTTAAGCTAGAAATTCAATTTGTTCAATCTGTGTTAATTAAGTTAGAGGTTTTGATTGTTGTTTGATTGAAAATCGAGTATTTTTTCTTTTGGATGAGTTGGATCTTTGTGCGTACTCTTTATCTTCGATTAGGATTAGAAAGTTTTTTAACGAAACACATAGTTCGGATTTAGTCGCTTATTATATATTTAATAAAATCAATTTATCTAGAAAAAAAAAACAATTCTTCTTCTCTAACTCAAAACTCTTCATAATCGTCATTAGTGGTGTTGTAGATGAAGCATACAACAGGTAAAGCAATAAATCGATAGCAGCATGGTCTGAAGAAGAAACGGTTCCATAAACTACAACGGCAACGGCAACGACAACATGAGAGAAAAACCACAATCGGCGAAGAACAAATAGTTCCTGTTACAAGTTACATTTTCCATGAATCAATTTCATTGCATATATCAAAATAGAAGAAAATAATCTGTTACAATCACTATTTGTTGGATCTCTCCTTAATTGGAGACGTTCTAGAAAATTCTAGAGCTTTCTAGAGAAGTGTAAAATTTTTTAGAACATTCCAGAGAACTCTAGAGAAGTGTAGAACTCTCTAGAAAGTTGTGGAAGAGTGTGGAATCCTCTGGAATATTCTGGAGATGTATGGAACCTTATGGAAGAGTATGGAAGAATATGGAAGGGAGTGGAAGAGTGTAGAGTTTCTTAGAGTGTGTGGAGCATTCTAGATAATTAATCATTCTAGATAATTAATCTCCACCCTCACCCTTGGATGTAAGTAATCTCCCCCATTCATTGTAGTGGTAGAGTAGTATAAATAGGGGTGAGAGACTTCATTAATTCCTAACTATCCAAGAAATCCAAAAATACTAAGAGAGTTAGAGAGCCTCTTTGAGAGATAATAGAGATGACTTTAGAAGTTTTTATCCTCAAGCTTGAATGACCCACCAAGTGTGAGTAAAATTTTTTGAACACATTCTTGTAATCCCAGTATTCTTTTGTATAGTGGAAGAATCTCCAAATTGGAGAATTATACTTTTGTGCTCTCTTTACTATCCTTAATTTCTAAGTGTCTATCTTAACTTCACGAAGCGAGAAAGACTGTGATTCCCAACTCTATTCAATATTTAGTCCTCGTCTGAAAACGATATCATGTTCTCTATTTCTCGCACCAAGTCAGCTCCGTCATTATCGCAGGAGAGCCACATTTTCGGCCAGTTCTTCTAATCTTACAAATAACCCATTCTTCAAACACATCTCGATTCAATCGATACTCGTACATGATCCAATCCGTTTTTCTAAACCCATCGGTTCTACTCTTATTCTTATAGTCATGTTCCTACCCAGATACTCATAAAAATTCAGCACGTTAAAAAACCCTAGCACTCGACTGTGATCATCCCGAACAGGTTTTTCATCGGTAGAAGATCTCCAGAAACCATCTCCTTCCGATCCATGCACATCTTTCCGAGGTCTTTTCCCGTTAAAATTCCTCTATGCAATCATCTCTCGACGCGTAAACACGAACCGTTGGTCGTTTCTTCCGAGTAATTTTGATCCGTCATTTAAGAAGAAAACCCCCGGCTTGCATGAGTAAACATTACCGACCTTGAACAGATAGCCGAATTGACCTAATCCGGCGATGACATCATCATTGTTGGTGATGAACATGGGGAGATAGATCGAAAGTATCTCGACGTCAGTAGAGTTGAATACCATGTTCGAAGGAAGACACTGCATTATTTTCTTGGTTTTCAGGTTTTGGTTTTTATCTCTTAAGAGTAGTCTACACCATGTATGTATGTATATATAAGGAGATGTAAATGAAATTCAAATTTGTTGACGTGACATTTTAACCTTATTAAAATATGGAATGAGGTTAATTATTTACTTATAATGCATCTTTCTCCTCAAGAGAAAATGTTTATTTTAATATTTTTATAAAACTAAAATAACTTATAATGTATCTTTCTCCTCAAAACATATATTATTAATAAATTTTTAAGATTTAAAAAATAAATATACAGAAATAATAATTTTAGTTATATTAAATAAAAATTATTTATTTTAATATTTTTGTATAAAATTAAAATAATTATATTATATCTTCTTTGTCAAGAAAAAATTATTACTCTTGAATTTTAAATGATAAAACAGAAACATATAAAATAGCAATTTTAATTATATTAAATAGAAGATTTTTACACGAATTAATTTAAGTGGTTGAAGGAATATTTTTTATTTTCAGAGGTCTTGAGTTCGAGCACCAAGGATTACAATATAGATAATTGAGCGTTCATTGTCAAATGGTTGAAAATATTTAAAGCATAAATTATTTTATAATCACTTTAGATAAATAAAAATAAAATATTTTTAGTTAATACTTTTTATTTAAAATTAAAATAACATATATTGTATAAAAATAATATCACGTCAAATATCCTTTGAAGCATTTTCACCAAGTAAAAATAAATTCTTTCGAAGATTTACAAGTCGAACCATAATTTATATATCATTTGTTAAAAATTTAAAAATATAAAAAAATAAACAAAACAAAATTAATATGAAATAAAATCTGCACATTAGATGAAAATCGATGTAATTTGATTTTACTTACATCTTCGAATGAGAGAAACAATAATCTATTACAAATACAGATATTATTAAGAGTATAAATACATAATATCTCATATATCCCAAAATCTAAAAAAAAATATTTTGTGAACTCTTTTCACTATATCATCTGACATCAATATTGTTTCCATGTCGTTTATACGTATAGATTTTATTTTTCAAATTAGTTTCTTCATTAATTAGTATCATAATTAAACTTAAATTTAGGGATTATTTATTGGACCTTATCAGATTCTGTGATATGTAAAACCAATTGTTTATTAGTTTGAGGTATTATTAGAGTTTGAGCGTGTTCACAATGTCTTCAACGTTTCTTTATCAAGACGTTACTGTTTTAATTTGTCTCATATTATTTCTGTGAAATAATATATACCGATGGATAAAGTACTGTGAAATAAATATACTCTCGAATTATAAAAAAAAAACAAACTTAATAATAATAACTCAGCATCTCAAACGTGCTAAGTAACATTTTCGTGTCAAAGACAAAGACGTTTAACGACATATTGTTTTGTTATTTTTCGATAATATAGTGACCAGTTTATTACTTTTAAAAGTTTAATAGAAAAATAAACTTTTACTCATATTTTAGTGATCATTTAGGTAGTTTACCCTTAAATCTAACCCTCGTAATAATGCATTACATAGAGCAAGTTAAGAAAATCTTTCTCCGTTCCTCTGCTTTTACTATCTATTTCTCTCTCTCTATTTCCCGATCCTCAAAACCCTATTTACTTTTTCCCTTTCCCTTTTGATTCATCCATTGAAGCTTGCCAATGGCCAATAGTAATCTCCCTCGAAGAATCATCAAGGTTACTCTTTCGATCTTTCTTTGGTCCTCCTTGTTTTCTCCGATTTGTTTGTTTCCCGAGAACCCTCAAGAAAATCTTTGTTCTTTTACTTTATTATTATTGTTATTTTGCGCTTCTAGCGTTAGGTTTTGTAACTGGAGTTTTTAATGGGTGTTGATGTATTAAAGTCCTTTGCTAATGATTTCAAGATCGTTTTCTGAGATTGAAGAAAGGATTTTCCTTTCGTGTGTGTGAGAATTTTGTTTATTTTTCGTACTTTTGATTTGGGTTTCTTCATCTTTGATCTAAACAGGAAACACAGCGTCTCCTCAGTGAACCTGGTAATTACTTTGCTTTTTCTTTGTCGTCTTTTTTTTTAATCTTTTACCGAAATTCTTGACTTTTGATTAGTATGTTAAATTTCTTTTTTTTTTTAATAAGATAGGTTTTTCTTAATTTCTTTTTCATTATGATAGCTCCGGGAATTAGTGCTTCTCCTTCTGAGGATAATATGCGATATTTCAATGTGATGATCCTTGGTCCTACACAGTCTCCATATGAAGGTAATTGATTTTTCCTTCTAATTGGTTGGAAATATTTTTGCTTTTGAATTGTAATATTTTACAGTTGATTTAAACCATAAAGAGGGGCACCAATGCCTGACTATCTGTCATTAAAATGGTTTCTATATGGTTGAATTTGGAAAGCATTTGATAAAATGGTTGTCAAGTGTTCGTTTTACTTTTGTTTTTTTGGTTGGTTTTCCAATCTTCTAAAGGGGAAAATGGTGAGTTTTCCGTCTTGAGACTTAGGTCAAATTAGCATTTTTCCAGTCTCATATTGATGCTTGGTCTGGTTAAATGTTTTTAATATCCCCCACCCCCCCCTTTTTTTTTGCATTATGTAATTAATTTTGCACTTGTGTTAGGATTTGACAACTTTTCTTGTTTGAGATTTTAGGAGGGGTTTTCAAGTTGGAATTATTTTTGCCCGAAGAATATCCCATGGCTGCTCCCAAGGTACTCGAGTTTGAGTCATTCTTAAAAAACTAGCATGATTTTCCATATCTGCACTGCATCTGTTGCTTGTAAGGTTGATTGCTAATCCTTGGATGTACGGTTTTGCTTGGTTTCATCCGAAAAAATTGTTGCGTATACGGATCGCAATATGATTCAGAATGTTGTAGCTTGCATTATAGAGAAATCTGTTTTTTTTACTTGGTGATTCCCTTGGGTTGTTAAGTCTTGCTCTTATCTTCATATGTTGAATTGTTTGTTGATCGGTGTTGTAGTAAACCTGCTTTATTCTTTGTTGATACATGGTAAAAATGCTTTTGAATGCTCTCTCTTCCTCTCACAATATCTTTTTATCTATATTTATTTATATATGGTACTATGGTAGGCACTTCATTTATATCCTTAAGTTTGCAACTTACCATTTGGTTCTCTTGTACTAGTGAATCACAAGTGTAGTATATTAATAGATTTGCCAACTAACAGTGGTTGGAAATCATAATCAATTTATTGTTTTCTATTCTCGGAAGCTTTCTGAAGTCCATTGATGACATCCTTTTCGATATATTTTGTATTTTTGCCCACCTTAACCGATTTTGGTGTAACAGGTTCGATTTCTTACAAAGATATATCATCCTAACATTGATAAGGTTGGCACCTGTTCCTTCTTTTGTCCTTATTTTATGGTGATAAAGATTTAACTTTTTGGCTCTAAGGATTAAAACATTCTTGCAGCTTGGGAGAATATGCCTTGATATTCTCAAAGACAAATGGAGTCCTGCTCTCCAGATCCGAACTGTACTTTTGAGGTATTTTAAGTCTCCCTAGTATGTATTTCTATCGTTGTAAACCAATGTAGGTTACATGATCTTGAATGCATCAACCCTGCTGAAAATTTTTTATTACATATTTTCATATTGCCAATTTTTTCTTTTGGAAAATTAGGTATTATAAGTAAAATCGAAATCGAATATTTCTTTCCTACACTGCGTAAGGCGTATTCTTGTAGTTTCCCCTCTACCCCCAGGAAGACTTATCAGCAACGCAAATATATTACTACATTAGAAATGGTTCTGTTTATGTCATTAACTTAAGTGTTAGGATACTAAACTGACATAGTATCATTACTTCAGCATCCAAGCACTTTTGAGTGCTCCAAACCCCGACGATCCGCTCTCTGAAAATATTGCAAAGCACTGGAAAACAAATGAGGTTGAAGCCGTTGAGACAGGTAAAATCTATAGTTGCAATCTTAGGTCGTCGGGGTCGCCTAATTCTACTAAAATCGACGATGATATTGATTCACTGATCAACTGTTCCTGATTTCTGTGACCCTTTGCAGCAAAGGAATGGACCCGTTTATATGCAAGCGGTGCATGACGACCGGCGGAATCATTTGCGCTCATAAAATAGCAATTTATGCAATGTTAGCTACTGAATGCCGAATTCATATGGAAAGTTGGACGAATGATGTTTGAAAGAGTTTGATAGCTGTTAAAAATCATAATCCTGTTGGAAGAAGTCTCTGAACTTGTATTATAATACACATTGTCATCTAAAACTCCCAAATGAAGACCTATGGGATTTTCTCTAGTATGGTTATTTCTGATTACTGGTTTGACATATTCGGTTATGGATTTGAGTATAATTTTTCAAATATATAAACTTTTTTTAAAGAAAATATGAATATATTTATGTTGAATTCATTTCATATATTCGTATTTGATATTCATTTTGAATAGGACGAAATTGAGATCAAATATTGAAAGGGTCCAATTATTTAACTCGGTATATAGGGGATTTCAGATATTAATGCAGCGATAATGGAATTTTTCAATCAAAAGCGCATTTTTACTGATATTACATGTCTTGTTTATAAGAGATGTTAAATTTTATATAGGGTAATACATAAATGGTCTTCAGTTTCTGATTATAAACCATCGTTTTATTGAGTATTTTGATTATTAAAAATTATAAAATGATTTTTAGATTATAAAAAATTAGAAAATGATCATATGACTATTTATTATGCTTCAAACTGTGTCTTTTTTCGTTAAGAAAAATGATGATAATTTGAGTTGCTTGTTAATTTGCCAACTGAAATATGTTATAATATGATTCTAGAATCACAAAGAATTATCATATCTCAATCAGTAGGATAATGTTTATCTCAAACTACTATCAATTTTTCAATAAAAAAATGACAAGTTTGGAACATAATAAATAGTCGAGTAACCATTTTACAAATTTTAATAATTAGGGGACTTAAAAAGTAATATCCTATAATTAAGAGATATACACTTCAAATTTTAGAACTTTAAATCTATTTTGACACAACAAAATTAAAGATGCGTTTATGAAAAAAAAAATTATATATGAAATTATTTTGCCAAAATAAGTCGATAGGGAAAGGAATTTAATATACTTTTGATATTAAAGCTTATCAAATATTATGTATTTAGAAATTAAATTCGTTACTTGTATAAAGGTAGTATTTTTATTTCTTTTTAACCATTTTATATCAAATATTTTAAATTTTATACAAGTATTAATTAAATGAATGGCAAATATTTAAGAATATAATATACATTCCATAATTCATATCAATTCTTTTTTATAATTTAACAAAATGTTTGATAAATATAGGTATAAAATATATAATGGTTTATACCAACAACCAGATGGTCTATTGGAGCAAATTGGGTTGAGATGATCGCCCTTGCCTCTATAATACCTGATCTGGATTAGTCGATCAATAGATCAGATATTGATGGTTATACTTGAATATATATATATATATATATATATAATGTTTTATCAAATGTATAATATTTGATAAATAACGTTATTTAATTATTTAAAAAAAGTGATACTACTTTTATAAAAATGACAAATTCAAGTATAGAATTGTTTTACCAAAAATATAGGTACCACATTTGTAAAAGGTTACAAATTCAGATACCATATAATATATTAAACCAAGCAATTAAAAATTGAAGGAAAAAAATAAATTTTAACGCGGGGGGGGGGGGTTTAGGAGGTTTTAAATAGGGAAAGCCAACACCAAAATAAACCTTGACCCGCCCTCTGACTCACCGATTCCAACTCACTCAAATCCCCCCAAAGCACAATGTCCTCTCAAGATCCAGATCCGAAACAATCCCCTGACCCGAAAACCCCTAACGACCCAGAACCCAAGCAACCACAAAACGAAGAATCGGAAGTAGGAGCTGAAGGAGGAGAAGAAGATGAAGAAGGGGAGTGCGGGTTTTGCTTGTTCATGAAAGCAGGAGGATGCAAAGAGAGCTTTGTCGGGTGGGAGAATTGCATCCGAGAAGCTGAAGAGAACAAGGAAGACATTGTGGAAAAATGTTTTGAAGCAACTGCAGCCTTGAAGAAGTGTATGGATGCTCACGCCGATTACTACGAGCCGATTTTACGAGCCGAGAGGAAGGCTGAGGAACAGGCTATTATTGAATTGGAGAAAGAGAAGGAGGAGATGGATTTGGGGTCTCAGGAAGGTTCCAAGGATTTGCAGAAGAAATCAGATGGTTAGTGTATTTTGGGCATAATTGAGGGTTTAACTTGGTGATTTTTTAACACTAAATGTTATTGCTTTATGGGTGATGGAATAGTATCATCAGAAACTAGAATAAATTTTCATACTTATTGGAACTAATTGATTGTTGGATTACACAATTTGGATAGTTATTATCTATTCAAAGATTTGAAATTGAAACCTTTAAATTCGAGATCCAAGTTCGAAATTTAAGTATTTGATAAAAAATCTTTTCCTTTCATAGTTGTGAATGTATGGCTAAGTATTTACTATGTTAGCTCTTTTTATGCTGTTATATATGCATTTGGATTGATTTTGTATGCTGAAATCTAATATTGGTAGATGTCAATCAATTCTAGTAATGACTTGAATCCATGATTATTGATTTTAGAAGGATCCTTGGTGTTGCTGATTCGTGATTAGTCGTTGGTTGTATCGAGTTTATGTGCTGAGTTTCATAATGATCCTTCTCCAACAACCTGACAATATCAATTCTTGTACAGTTGCATCCTTTTCTTTGTTTACTTTGTTCTTCCATGCCTTGTGAAAATTAGCCAGAATTGCTGAACCGAGGGCCTTGTTAACGTCGTGGCACAACGAAACATGAGAGTTTTGCCCACCACACCGATGAAATAGGAAATGTAGTTTTATTGTTTCAAAGATTAAGGCTCGGTTTGTTTGGTGCTTTTGCTGTTTCATTTCATATTTCTTGCTTTACTTGACAATCAAAGAGCAAAAGTTTCGTAATTGTACACGAACATTGCTTGCCAATCATATGATTTGTTGTAGAAGAACAAGGAAACCTAGAGCCCGTTGGCTAAGACTATGCTTATGAATGCTATTGTTAGCACCTGATTTCTTGTTACAGGGCATAAATATTTGCCTATAGTGAAGATTATGTTCTTCTGTGATTTGAATAGAATAGAGAGAAGCATCTTGAGCTTCATGCAATCCCTTTTAAAAGTAGGCATCTATTAGGTCTAGGATTCGAATTCCAACATCTACAACTGCTTCTTCTATTCTCAGGCTGAGGTTTCTTATGTGAAAAGGAAACAGCTAGAGAACTTCTCTTTGATGGATCGTTGCAAAACGACATCTCGTCTTTGTTTGAGCTGTACGAGATGAAATTCTCATATACGGTTCTCAAGGGGGTGTCCTCTTGATTTACCTATCTCAATAAATTCTATGATTGGTTCGTAGAATACCTCAAGATTCAGGTGATTGCAGATGATATAACTAGTAAATATGTTCCTCCTCATGTTAACATATTTCATTGTCTAGAAGGAATTACGATTACTTGTCTTTTTGGTACAAGTTGCTACAGAATTTGCTACGACTTTTTATTGTCGTCCAATTGTTACTAAGGCTTTTGTTTGACTGAAACTAACTTTGGTTGGTTAAACCGATCAGATCATCAATGATCGGCTTTCGTTTTTTTTTTTGGGAAGGTAATTCTATTTGCTTCCTCCATTAGATCCTATCATGTGAGCTTTTACATGCACTCTCATAGAATCTAATGTTTAGATGAAATGAATGCTCGATACGAGTATGTGTTTAATATCGCAACTTATCTTTTTAAAGAGTTATCTTCCCATATATTTGGAAATATGTATCCTTGTAGTTATAGTCTATATATACATCGAATATTATTTAAAATAGATAGAAAGAAAAATTTTACTTAAAAAGTAAAAATTGTCAGAAGTGGGATTTGAACCCACGCCCTCGTTAGTGGACCAGAACTTGAGTCTGGCGCCTTAGACCACTCGGCCATCCTGACTGAATGCTTAATAATTTACTGATTTTTTTAATATCAAATCGATCTGTTATACTCGAGCAAATCAATGACTTAAAAATGGAGCATACAAAGAATATTCAACATGCCCTTGGTATCCTTGCGAGTGACAGCAATGGACTGGTATTTACCTGTCATGCGTTATGTATTCCGGGACTTCGTGGTGTTGGTGGTAACTGAGGCTCAAGCTGTCACCTATGGTCTTCGTATGGCGGTGGAGTTCGATTGTCCTAATATTATCACCGAAAGTGATTCTGCCACGGTTGTTGAACAACTAGATAACCCTCAAATTCTCAGGCAAGGCTGTTTTTCTTTTATTAATCTGAGATAATTATAAGACAATATTTATTCAAAGATAATTCTCAACCATTTAACATTGAAAGCTCATACCATGTCATTCTGGATGCTCGAACTTTGGACTTTAAGGAATAACAACAATTTCATTACTATTGAGCTCATTCTGATAATGCTCAGGCCAAGGCTTGTTTGTGTAAAATAGAATATTTTATGTCTGAAAAAGAAAAAAATTGTCAGAAGTGGGATTTTAATCCAAGCCCTCGTTAGAGGACCAGAACTCGAGTCTCGCGCCTTAGACCACTCTGCCATCCTGACTTGATGCTTTTCTTTGTGAAGTTTTTATATGCAACTGTTTTATAAGCAATCAATTTTGTGTAAATGGAGATACAAAGCCGGTTCAACATTCACCCACCCTATCAAACCAACCTGAAACTACATAGGTATGCACGCCTAAGACAAGACCAAGCTATAAGGGCAACGACCGTTGGAGTACTAACCATATAACCCGACGCATTGATTCCTCGTTTCGAAGACCTTGCTTTCTCAAGTGAACTGGACAACAAGACCAAACAGGCAACATGTGCTAATGCATCAAAGGGCTAACAAAAGGACACATAACGCATTTTCCGCTGCGTTTAGTCCGGACCCAATGCTCCTCCTACCAACAAGTGATCAAGTTGGACTCTAAGGTTACCTCCAAGTCCAACTTTTTAATGGAAAGTCCTCGTGGCTTAAGGGGGCACAAAGTCTAAAGCGACAAGCGAACAAAACACAATCAAGTAAACGAACTTTCAGCCCGTTTAGTTGACCGCGTTTTGTGACTCTTACATTCTATGTATTGTATTGCATGCTAAACACGAATGAAATATGCTAAACGTGCTGCATTAACCATGTTTATCAAGCATGATGGATTTCCGAAACTTTCATATCATGTTTTCCAATCACAGAAAAAATAGCACTCGAGGGTTTTCCAAAATTTACAATTGCATTCTACTTATACATCCGATTCAGTCTTTCTGTAGCTGCTCCACTGCAAAAACCTGTCTCACTTAAAATACAAGAGTTCTTAACACCAGCTAATTCCAATTCTTGTTCTTTGCAGGACACCTCCGAAAATTGTTCATGCAATCCGATTTCTGGCATCTCAACTATTGCATTATTCTCTTTTACCGCTTCTTCATCCATTTCAGCACTGTGGCTATCGCGACAAAGATCGGTTTGCCGTATAGACTCCACTTTTGTTACAGTGTCAGCTTCATTGTCGCCACGGCAACTGTCAGAGATTTGTATACATTCGTCTACTGGCTTTCCCTTGGTACAGATGCCTAGTCTACTACTTTCTATAACTTGTAAGGCTGGGTTAACACACAGCTTCTCTATGTTAGAATAAGTAATTTCCCTTGTACCATCGATTTCCAATTCTTGTAGATTCATATCTCCAACGAACTCGGTTACTATTTTCGCACAAGCTTCATTTGAATAAATGTTATCATCCAAAAGCTGCAAAGAATTGGCTAATTGATCTCCTACAGAATGGATGTCAATGCATGTTGATTCTTCGTGTCTCAAATGTTCGGTTGAATTATCTTGTTGCAAAGACGACGTATTGCCGGCTTCTGTATAATCACAGGGATCAGATTTTGTTTCTTCAAACTCAAGAATGATGAACTTTATGAGGTTGGTGAAGTTACCTGATTGTTCATCGGCTTTGTTGGATTGATATAAGGGCTTCGAAAGCAATATTGATCCGGGAAACACCATCAAGTTGATTTTATTAAGTGTTTTTCTTTCCTCTTCCTCCACCGGCTTGAAACCAAAACCCTTGGTCCATGTTTCCACTACATTCGGAATGGCAGTTATCACAAGCTTTTCCACCTTGAATGAGATGAGCAGCTAGAGCACACATTAATTCGCAATGTGATTAAAACAAAGAAAATTAAGTCGAAAACACGAGAGGTGCAGATTGAACCGGTGCTATAAAGAGCCATCAAAGCACATGGATAACGGACAAGAGAACATACCTCTTCGATGATATTCATCAGGCTTCGACACATTCCTTGACGACGGTACTTGCTGCAAGTTGCAATAAGAGGCATCTCTGCAACTGCTACCCCATGTATCCTAGTACAAACGATGGAGAAAATCCGAAAGTAAACCGAAATGTGGATGAAGTAGGTTCGAACTTCAAAACAGATTAAAACATTATGCCGGAAAACCTAAAAGATGTTTGCTTAATAAACTAGAAGGGGTAGGATAATGAAGTATAAAATGATCTAAATATCAAATACCTAATTACCTACTATATTACCTGATTGATGCCACGGATATAATCACATCATCCTTCTCCAATACAAGAGAGTAAAATCCAGAAAAATTCAAGCGTGCGAATTCTGACCTGGTCATTTGAAAAACAAAAACATGTGAATCATAAGCGATATAAAAATCAGAAAATAGAAAAATTATGAACCATGTAAGAGACAAGTCGAGAACTACATGACACAGAAAAAGAAATAAACCAAAATAGCCAGTTTTTCTACGAACTATATGATCATGATAACCCTGCATGAAATGAACAAAAGATAATCTAATCATCAAACCTAAGAAATGCAAGGAGTATCGGAACAAAATGTCTTGAAACATAAAAGATAGGCCCAGAAAATCGAAAATGATGATAAAAAGGAAATAAATCGACCAGGTGTCTCACCCCCAGTTGTACATGAGATGGGGAATCATGTCGACACCTGTTCTTGGATCAACCATAGACAGAAAGCATTCTTCCATGATAGACAGTGCAACAGCCAGTTTTGAGTTGCATTCAGCCTTCAGGGCCAGCCTTTGAGCGGACTGAATTTTCTGATCTTCATGAATACATCTAAGAAGTGTCCAAGAAAAGCCATCAGGGAGGTGATTAATCATCCCGAGACGAGAACTAAGACCGGATTGAAGCTGCATATACCAGTGAAACTTGGCATCAGAACTTATGATGCGCATAACATGGAAAACACCAGGCCACAGTAACAGATCTCCAAGCCTAAACAGCTAAGCTTCAATGAGCTTGTAAAGGCAAGCAGCAAAAATTTCCCTAGGTCTACATGAGACTAACAATCAAACTCAAATAAATTTAAGCAGAACAAATTAAAGGGTAGTAATTGAAACAGACAACCAACACAATAAAACCTATGAATATACATGCAAAGACTTAAACCCACATCTACCTCATTTCACATTCAAAATAAAAGTTGCAAGGGCAAAGACTTGAACTTATAAACAGAATATTGGAACTATTTAACATGCTAAATCCAACAGATTCTTTGCATCATAATCAGAGTCGAGAAGATTGAATCTCAAAAATACCTCCTTGCAGCTTCCTCCACAAAGCCAGGTATCAGAAACCTTTTCTTCAAACTGATTTTTATCGTTCAAGCATGCCTTATGATCTGTTTAGAAAAACAGTGTTATAAGCTCAGAAATTAGGAAAACAAATCACCCAGTATCATAAAACCACTCAAATTAAAATGGTATATGGGCACTTTCAGCAAAAGCCTGAAGTTAAGAAAACCAAGAACATTCAAAGAGCACAACTGGTAGTTTACCGTATCTTATTCTCTATTCTTACTAGATATACCAATTTGGTCAAAAGATTATTCATTTTCTAGTTTCATCACCGAGAAAACTAAATCAAAAAACAAATGGAAGAAAAATGTTCTTTAAAAACCGTCACTAGTAGCCTATCACAAGTGCAAATCATATGTTAATAAACTCTATGCTGACTTAATAAATAATCTAAAGTTTTCAGAGGAAATGTCATGCTGAGGGGAAAGAACTACATTTGTGTTCGCACTGTGAACATTTGAATGAATCAAGTGAACTTGAAGCATCTTTATCATCAACAAAATTGCCACATATCCAACAAGTGCAATTTGAACAATACCAACTGCCTTCTGGTAGTTCCTGGAAGCAACAAATTGAAGAGCACGAAACAGTTAGCAACAAATACAAGGCGCCTGCTATGGACTGCTTAAGCTCTATTAAACAATCATCAATGAGATCTACCACATAGAATGGGCACCGGCACCAGCTATGTGATTCTAACTTGTTTATCTTTTTACTCTTAAAGATAATTATGTTGGTGTCTCAGAGAGTACATTTAATTGTTACTCTTAATGCTCTCAAAGGTCATCATTCATTCGAAAATATATGACCATGAAAATGCAAAAGATGGCATAGCTTAAACTCTCACAGGTTTATTGGTTGTTGAGGAAAATTAAATCAATTTCAAAATAATGATTCTTATACTATTTGTCTTATTACACGCTCAGAAGCTAAAACTAATATATGGAACATTTGCAGCCAAAACTGAAATTTTATCAAGTACAGCCCTTTGTAACTGGAAAAGATACTTGCAAGACTAAAAAAAGATAAGTGACTAAGTGAGACTAGGCCAAATATATTTTGACACAAGTAAAATTAGTGAAGCTGCAAGAAAAGGAAAGAAAATAAGGAGAGTAATCACGAATAGAGGTCAGTTATGGGACGAAAGTGTAGGTTGATGCAAAAGAGCATAAGTCAGCAAAGAACAAACCTCCATAGAAAGGCAAGCCGGATGAAAAGTAGAAGGGCAGTTGTCGCAACAAATCAGTTCACCAACATCCCCGCATATGCCACAGGAATCATCGTTTTGATCATTTTCGTCAACTTCCATCTTTTGGATCCCATTTTTTCTTGTCTTGTACTCCGCAGACCATGCCTGCAGCTGACATAAAGTGAAAGGCTGACCAGATTCCATGAAAAGATTCATGCATGGACGGTTAAGCTTGAATCCAGCATGATTTTTAAACTCACAAACTGATAGCACCCTATTGCAACAACTGCATGCTATTCCATCCCAGGAAACAAGACCATCTTTAACGATAGCATCATCCTTGGGGTTCCGATATTGAATGACATCATTCAGAGAAATAATCCTCGCTAAGATCAACCATGAGAGCACTGTCCTGGATCCAATATTATACAACTTAACTTCAGTAATATGATTCCCTCCTTTACCCATGCCTCGAGGAAGCAGCTTGCAGCGACTTTTCTTGCTCTTGAACTTGGTCCGAGCCCTTTTTTGGGGGCCCTTCAATTTAGATCTGGTAGCACTCAAACTCAAGTCTTTGTTTCTTATTATAGCAGAAACCAACAGATCATCATCTTTAATTTGGCATTTAGTTGATTTCTTTTGTCGGTTTTTAGAACCATAACAATTTCCAAAACTTCTCTTAAACTTCGAGCCTTTTTTCTCCACTTGATGCAGGGAAGAGCCAAGAGACGAGGACCTGTGTAGATTTCCTTTGGTAACAAAGGATTCTTGGACCCTTTTTGAATTTAACCCAGCCTGGCATGTGTCTGCATCATGATGGTCATTCGTATCAGGAGTATACGAATGTAAAATACCACCTTGGTTTAACGCAGCTAATCTAAGTTCAGATATCTTTCTGGATCTCCTGCATGCTTTCTTTTTCAAAATAACACCTTGCAAAGAACTTTTATCCTTTGTTTCAAACTTCAGAGCTTCGGTGAACTTCTCAAATCGGTATTCATCATGCCCAGACGTTTTATTGTTTTCCTCCAAAGACTCGAATGATACATCTCCTGGAGCTTCATTAGGAATTCTAACGTTACATTCAGAAATTTGTTTTTCAGAACTTGGAGAGCTTGTGTTGCTATATCGGTAAGCAGTAGCATATTCCGAACCCTGAAGTACGTCGGAAACATCTCCAGAAGCAACACGATCAATATGCTTAAAACTGCCTAGCTGACCATAGGTTCCATCTGACCCAAAAGCATATGATGAAGTCATAAGCCGATCGTTGAACTTGCAATCAAAGGTTTCTGATTTGGTGGCAGTATCTTCCAAACACACACCTTCTCGGTCAGCCGTATATACAGATACACCTTCAAGACCTTTCATTGCCCCACTACTTGTTTTACCATAGAAGTTTGAAAAACTTCCATTTCCAGATAGCCCATTATAGGCACTGTAACTCCTCTCAGAAGCTGTCAATGAGCTTTCAGCAGCCGGAGAATAATCACAAAGCTGAGTTGGCACATCTCCCTGAGAACTGAACTTTTGCATGGTAATCTTTTTCCTCCATGCTAAAACGGCATCATTTTTCTTGTTCTTTTGAATAGCTAAACTGCTCACTGCTTTAACCTCATCTCCCTTCCTTAATGAACCAATCTTCCTATTAACGAATACAACATTTACAAAGGGGTCTAATATAGTCCAATAATGAGCCAATGCATGAGGAAGGTTCGGTTGGTTAAAATCTTTCTCAATATTCGCCAACATATCTAATAGATCGGACCAGAAATGGCTCATATCAGTCCATTTCTTACCATTGTTATCCAGCGTGAAGTTGTACCAATCAGCCAACAGAACCTGCCCAAAAAACCTCCAAACATTAGGGAATTCACGGAACAGCCTCCCCTCGGGCGATCTATAAACTGTTTCCACGTAAGTCCTACAGGGTCTTTTACGTCTCTCAATAGACCAGCCTGCTCTTCTTAGAAAGTGAAAAACATGGATCCGAAGCAGAGGACGAGGATCCTTCTTAGTGTCTATTGCCCCAGAAATATTACAATCCCCAACTCCAGATGATTGAAATCCGTTAAGTCTTTCCTCCACACATAAAGGAGACTCGAACTTCTCCATGCCAGCGGCAGGACTAGAAACCACAAGCCTTGATGCAAAACTCTCCTGCGAAACAGGCGAAGCCATAGCTTTACCTCTTCCCTTTCCCACATGCCGCTTCAACAGACGACAGCTAGATGTAGCCCCCTTAGAAGATGATTCAAATAAATGGCGTGTAACAGTTTGGTAAATAGAATCCATAGGTGTCGAGGGCGAACCACTAACAACTTCGTTCTGCTGCAATAGTGCATTCAAAACCATTCCACTTTCTGCTTTACCCGTAGAAACTTCATCCATGGAGAACTTTGTTCGCTTGACATTCCCACTCAGGACATCTCTATCTGCCAAAGCAAATCTTTCGGGAAAGCTACCTAATGTAGAAATTCCATCATAACTCTCAATTAGTGCATTTACATCCTCCTGGTATAAACTTTTTGAGCGAGAAGACCAGCTTGTTACAGCTGAGTTTGCACTATTAGAACATAGTGATTTATCTAATTTCTGGCTATGCTCACATTCGAAATTAATTACACCATTCATAAGACGCTTTTTACTTGTGCTGCCACCATCATTTCCAAATAAAACCTTCGTAAAAATGCTGTGATCATCATGTGACCCCTCAAAACCATCATTATGTAGATATTCTGTATCTGCACTGAATGACATCTCCGCTAAATGCAATCCAACGTTGAACAATCTACAAGTGAGCAATAATAAAAGGCGTGAGACATATCCCTCCATAATAAATGCTTCGGATCCAAGCCATCTATCAATTGGTAACAAAAGAGTAAAATAAAGATCTACAAAGAAGACAACTAACACATAACTAATTATTATTTAACTCTTTCCTATATCATACATGTGCGGTTAATAAGTTCGTGTCAAACACAAAGGTTTCCAAAAATGTGAACTTCATGCTATCTTAATATAAACATACACCAACCATATACTCTCCCATGATGCTTCAAGCATTCTTCACCCCTTTCTTTCCTTCCTTCTCACAAAGTCGAATGAAAAATAGAGTGATAGCGACGAAACTTCTTTCAACTGAAATGATGCTGCCCCGAATTCCCAATAATTCAATTGACAAAAAAGATCAACTTTAAAACTTTTAACCTAGATGTCTTTTTCCTCAATTTTTTGTGCACTTTTTTAAGCTAGGTATAACAGATAAACTGAATCTTTGTTGCCATTACCATGGGTGGAATTGGGAAATCAGATATTCACCAACATTTCGAAAGAAACTCCTAACCTTTTACGTCATTACTCAATCGGAAAAGAGCTCATCATAAGTATAATTAGATCAGATACAACAAAAGAAAATCGAAAAATCCATACTTAAAGCAAAACAAAAATCCAAATTCAGAGCACATATCAATAAAGAACTGCATCTTCACCCCCCCCCCCCAAGATGATAATAACAATAAAAATTGTAAATTCAATAATGCACCAGTTAAAGAAACAGTAGTAGTAAATTTGGAACAAAAAAATTAAAGTTTGAAAGGAGCTATAATTCCACTATTTTCATCACCAGTTCATCTATCATGTTTCAATAGCCTGAACAAAAATCCTAAACTGTCCTTAAAATGAAAAAAAGAAAGAAAGATTAGTTCAGCTGAAAAATCACTTGAAATGGTAAAGGAAACCAAAATCCAAAAATCCCAGGACCTAAAAGTAAAAACCAAACCAGATGCAGCTCAAACCCAGAAACCAAACACCCAAAACTTTATCCAAAAACTTTGAGCAAAAAGAGCTGACCTTTACAATGCATGTTCTGATCAACATGCAAAAGCAGATCAAGAAACAAACTTTGGTTTAGGGTTCAAGAGCTCAAGAGCTGAAATGGGTTCATCTTTGAAGAAGAGATGATAGAATCTTAAGATAAAGCTTCAAAAATAGCATAAAAATGGGATTTTTCTTCTTTCTTTTTGCTTTGTTTTCATCGGCAAAACATACAAAGGACTAAAGCCGCAACTTTGAAATGAAAGGCTTGCAAAAAGAAAGCTAAATAGTGCTCCACAGTGTGTAACAGATCCATGGGAGTGTATATTAGCGGTATATTTTTGTAAAGTGCGTAAATAAGCTCATTGTGTAAAGGTCTATACTGTATGGTAAAAAAAATATTATTATTTTTTAAAATTCGGATTCAAATATTATAAATGTCATATGAATATTTATGATTGAAAAGTTATTTAGTATTTATCTTAAATTAATAAAAAGACAACGTAAACAAATACTCAATAAAATAATTACAATAATATCAATATTTAAGGATAAATTACACGTTTGATAAATAAATTTTATTTCTCTCCTATTTCACTTATCATATTTTTAATTTTTTAATATAGTCACTAAATTTTATAGATTGAATTTTTTTATCACTCCGTCATCATGACATGGCCGTATTTTAATCAAAACGATGTTGTATTATTCTAAATTTAATTTTTCAAGGAATTCAAAACTACTTCATTATGATGTAAGTTGTCATGTCATAACATTGTTAATTATTTTAACGGCGGAGTAATCAAAAAATTCAATCTATGAAGTTCAGTGAATAAATTGAAAAAAATGAAAGTATAATGAGTGAAATATGAGAGAGTAAAGTTCAATTATCAAATATGTAATTTATCTAATATTTAATCATAAAAGCACTTTGTATCAATAGTGTAATTTACCCAATATTTAATTAAAAAACATGTTTTGACAAGTTATTGTCCAACAGCTGTTGCATCAAGTTTCCAGCAGGGTGGAAAAGTTTAGGAAATACGGCTATAGATTTGATTATTTTACAATTTGGTTACACATTATTAAATGGTATAATGTCAAAATTAGCCCTCAATGTTTATCAAAATGATATTTTGTTTTGTATTCTATTTTTTTGAAATATTTTAGCCCAACTCAGTGCTTCATTTGATAGAATAATCATTATTTCTTATTCTTTTTCTAGAACATTCTAACTCAGTGCTTCATTTGAGATTAATCGATTTTTTGTCTTCTAAGTATGGTGTACATATAATTTTTGTGATCGGTTATTTTTATAGCAGTTCTTGATTCGTTGGGTTATAAAATTGAATTATCCAAAAAAACTAATATCGTTATACCAATATTTTTTATTTAATTTTTAATCATCCAAAAGATTATTCATTTATTTAATCATCATATATGTCAAATAATATTCAAAACTAATACTAAGATTTATTTTATGAATTTGTCAAATATAGTTATTGATCCACTTATTTTAAGTTACTTATCATGCTATCCATCGACCACGACATATCTCATTATATGCATTATTCAAATATTTAAGGAAAAAACACATCATAGGTTCCTGTACTTTTTAAAAAATCCAATGTAACCCTTATATTATTTTTCTCTCAATGTAACCCTCCAACTCAAAATTATACTCAACATGGTCATTTGACCAATGTTTTTCATCATTGACCGTTACAGTACTGACGTGACAATTCACTGTACTGATGTAGCAGTTCACAATGGTTGATAATGTAGCGTATGACATGATAGATGAGCTAAATCGATATCTCAAGCATTGTCAGATCAGTACCGTGGACTTTCATGTCAACACTGTCAACTGCCACGCTAAGCCAACATCGTAACAATCAACGAAAGAAATTCGTTGGTCAAATGATCACATTAGATTTATTTTTTGAATTTGAGGGTCATATTGAGAGAAAAAACAATACAAAAATCAATGACCTAACCTCTAATGTCTAATATTTAATACAAAACTAGAATTTACACGTAATAAATAGTAAGAACTCATTTACGCATATCATAAATTTAAATATGTCTTATAATAATTCTATCGTTGTGTTCATGATGTATATATCAGCCTAAATTCAACAAACTAATAATCCTATCAAACACTGTTTTTGAAACAACAATAAACATATTTGCAATACATTAGTTAAACCGAAGTTGACATGCATTGGAACACCTTGTGAACATTAATAATTTCTTCAACACATCAACCTTTGATTCTAATGGCAGATCTCCATTAGTGCAGATATCCATCATCTTCAAAACTCGAGCATTCTTCAAAATATATTTCACCATCCTCAGCTGATACGCTACCTCTTCGTACCCTTTGAATTCGACTCTTTCCAGGCTCGACAGCAAGCATTCCGGCACATTCTTCTGCGGTTTCCAGCGGCATTCGAGCCCAAGTCCACGGCAATTATCGTTCTGGTGTCAAGAACCGTTCGTTATCGATATTGGATATCGTTTGGATTATTCATTTTTCTTGAAATATTCGTGTTAGACATATACTCACCTTGGTAAGAACAAGGACTTGTAAATTATCAGAAATTTCCAAGAAAAGTGATAGCATGTTCCAGCCACCATAGCCAACACTTAGCTCTAACCGGACCAGATTACGGAACAAACGATGCGGTCGGAAGTTATGCCATGTCTGAGAGACGAGGAAACATCAAATACATATCAGTAAATGTTACTAATCATGATAAAGATGTTGATTTCGGTTTAAATCCGAGTGTAATGGATCATACTCAGTACTCACCATTTTCGAATGCCAATCCCAGTGTAAGGAAACAAACTTAGCATTGCAGAGAGCTTTGAGGAGTGGAATATGGCGATTTTCGAGCCATGTGACCGAAACATTCGCTTCGACTAAGCTCGATACATCCTCGAGATCGAATTCCAGGCCGAGATTGTCTTCGAGGTTCAGGTACTCGAGAATCGGAGCATTTATCTTAAGTTGGTGTTTGCGTCGGCCGGTGGCAAACCGTATGGACAGTATCTTCAATGTCTGAATCGAAACGTCGGAAATCGATGTGTTATCACTGACATATTTGCGAAGAACAAGTTCCTGAAGAACATGACAACCTGCGAAAAGCCTCGAAACGGATTCATTGCTCGAGTACTTAATCCAGACGAGATGCAAAACCTTGAGACATGGCAAAGATACTGTCCCTGTAACATGAAGCTCAACCCCGTTGCTCAGTTTCAAAACCTGCATTGTTTTCGCGGTGAAGACGATAAACGGAAGCTTCAGAAAGGGGAAGCTTTGAGTTCCATGGATGGTGATATCTAATTCTTTCACATCTCTCGAAACCGCGTCCCAAAACCAGGTTTCGACACAGGAAGGACGATCGACCATGTTGAATTTCAGACAGAACTTGTCTAAACAAGCCATTTTGTTAAGGATTAAAACCCGCGTAACGAAATGTTCGAAACGAAGTCGGAGGCTTGAATCCGTCCTGCAGGAAGGTGAGTCTTGAAGATCAATGACGGGAACCGATGTCCACACCGGAAGCCACCGTTTCGATAGAATCGAAGTCGCCATCGCTTCTTTCGTCGAAAGAAATGAGAGTATGTGTTGAATCAGAACATCCGGCAATCGACTGATTCCGTCTATGCGAACTTCTTCATCCGATGATCTCCTAATCTTTGAGCTGACATTGATTTCTTGAATTGCAGAATTTGCCATTGGAAGTAACAGAAGAAAATGTGTGAACAGAGCATCAAACATACCTATATATATACATATATGATGATTAATGTTCAATAATCAACCAAATTTGATGAAATAATCATGTCTTTAATTGTATCATAAGCTTAGTTTGATTATTTTTTATTTTTCAATGATAAATTAAAAGTGCAAATGAAAATGGCAATAGAATCTGGTCAGTTCACACTTTACTTGCATGCATGCAAAAAGGTGAAGCAATTTTTGTATTTGTTTGTAAGGACAACTTTTAATCGGATTGTTGTACAATGATAAGCTGATTATTATTTAATTACTATTTTGATCATTTAATTTTAAAATTTTATATATTTTAATTATTTACGTTACATCTTTATTTCATTTTAATCATTGACTGTTACAAACTTGACGAAAATATTATTGTGGACCTTTTACCATTTTTGAATTTTCATGCCATTTTTCTCTCTTCACGTCAACATTTTCATGTGGATTTAAAAGAGTTTCGTGATTGCAAGTATCTCATCAATGTATCTATTAAATTTTATATATTTTAATAATTACCGTTACGTTTTTATTTCATGTGAAATCTAGTGGATTAAAACAGAAACACTAAAAAAAATTGATGTCTAAATAAATTGTTTACCCTAAATAAAATCATGATAAAAGTATGATTTCTTTGCAAATATTCTTTTTTTTTACTTTGGCACAAAACAAGTAGGGGTGAGCAAAACTCGACCAGACTTGAAAAACTTAATCTTTTCTATTCAATTTGACTAAAAAAAAGCTCGACTCGAATTGATTTTGAGTTATAATTTTATAAACTCGACTCAACTCGGAAAAAAAAAATTCAAGTTCAACTCGAGTTTTAAAATACAACTCGAATAGCTTGAATAGTAACTTGAATAAGTCAAAATTTTTAGTAATTAGTGGATTAATTTTTAAATTTGGGGCAGTTCTCTCGACTTTATATGATACAATATATATATATATATATATATATATATATATATATTGTATATGGTTATTAAAAACTAATTAAATATGAGTAAAATAATATCACAAATATTTAAAATATTTAGAATTAAATTTAAACAGGAACTTAAAAACTCGGTTCGACTTGACTCGACTCAAATTTTATAAATGCGATTCCACTCTAAAAAAAAATAAATCAAATTTAAGTTATAAAATATGACTCGTTAACTCAAAATCTTTAAACCCAACTGTGTCGAACACTCACCCTAGAAGCAATTACTTTATAACTAATATGAAACTTGTTTAGTCCATTTACTTATCTTAATGAGATGAAAGTTAATTAATACATTAAAACAATAATTGTTTTAGTTGGAATATATTTTAGTGTACTAGAAATATTAAAAAAATTCATTTGAAGTAATTAATTTTATTAAAAAGAGAAAATAATTAAAATTATAATAAATGTTTACTATTATAATAGTAAATAAACATATAATTAAAATATTTTTTTATAATCATTAACATAAAAAATTAACAACTTAAAGTCACACAAGGAAAAAAAAAGCTAAAAAATATGATAAAAAGACTTAAACAAAGGGTAGATATAAATAGATCTAATTACATCGACAAACGAACCATACAAATGATCAAATTACTAAAAGACTATCAGCAAACGTAAATCAATGTTAAACAACATTAGAAAACTATATGTAAGTAAATGTATATTTTATTACTATAAATAGTATATTAATTAATGATATATGTCACCAACAATCAATTTATAGTGAAATGAAATATTAAATCTTTTAAACAAAATCCCATTGCATATGGGAATAGGGTTTTGTTGTTGTTGTTGTTGTTAAACAAAATCGAGAATTTGATTACTAACATTTGTGAATAAAGAAAATTGAGTTGAGAGTATCGTCCTTCTATTGTACCCAAAAAATTAAAGATATATGTATAAAACTTTAGGGGGGAAATTAAAAAGCAAGAGGTTAATAAAGGAAAGGGTAAATTACATAATTTGTCACTTTTGTTTATTTTTTTAATGTATGATCACTCAATTCAAAATAGCTAATGCGTCGTCACTTCATTTCGTTTTAATTAACATGTGGTCATTTTCGTTTCATTTTAATTAAGATGTAATCATTTACCTTATTTTGAGTTACATAAATCCTAACCTCCAAAAAAATAAAAACCCAAAATTCATAATCCCATTGAAAACCATAACCTCCACAAAATCAAAAACCTAAAAATCATAACCACACAAATGGTTGTCCCTTGTTCCCATATGTAATGGGGTAAGGGGAGGTAAGATAGTAGGTTGCTCCTAACATTAGGTTGGGAGCAGCTTCCGTAGGAGACCTCCAAATTATGAAATGCCCTCTATGGGACTCGATCCCACGACCTCAAGGTTAAGAACCTTGTGCTCTACCAACTGAGCTGGATGGTCATTTCTCATAACCCCACAAATGATTCTCCAATTTTTGGTTACATAGCTCGAGAAGCTACTGAAGGAAAGCTTTTAAAGACTTAGGGGATGTTTGGATCAAGGAATGTGTGATTCCCATAAGAATGGAATCCACATTCCCATGTTTGGTTGGCCGAGAATCTCATTTCCGGTAATGTTTGGTTGGCCGAAAATCTCATTCCCGGTAATGTTTTATTATCAATAGTAGATTTTTTTGGGTATATTACCGGGAATGTCATTACCTCCATTTCCTTATGTATTATTAGATTACCGACGTTTTGGACTAAAATGCCCTTAAAAAAATTTCTCAAAAATATTTTTCTTCTGTCATTGAATAATAAAAATTCTACGAAGGTTAAATTACAAATTTATCCTTAAACTATTTTAGATTTATAAAAAAAAGTCTATAATTAAAATTTTATATGAAGTTCAAGGGTTAAAATAAAATTTTACCATTTCATTAAACCTTTTTATATTGTCAATTTTGTAAAAATATATATATATATAAATTTTATGAATTTAAATTTTTTAAAGAAAATATATAAATATTTTCCAACTTGTTAAAAAAAACAAATATATAATAAGGACAATTTGGTCAAATATGCATTCCAATAATCTTTTATTTCTTTAACCAAACACGGTAATCTTACATTCATGTTAAACCAAACAAACACAAAAATACAACATTCTCAGTAATCCTATTACCTGGTAATCTTATATTCCGTGAACCAAACGCACCCTTAGGTTGAATAACTAAAAAATTATGGCTTTCAGCTTACTAATGTAACTAATGGTTTATCTGACCTATTTGCTGTGAAAGACAAACAGAAGGTTATGAATGTAAAAAAAAGCTGCTTATTTAAGTTACAACGTGATGAATAATATTGTGATTCCAAAGCTTGAAAGTGTAATTGAGGAGGAGAAGAAAATTATTCAAGCCACCAATTATTTGAACTGGTCATTGGGGACGGAGCCATGATTTTAGTTCAAGGGGACAAAGTGTCAGGATTTTAATTTAAGGAGAAAAGTATAATTAACAATAGAAAATAGGGGGCAAAATAAAAATAAATTAAAATTTAAAGTCCTAAATAGATAATTTTCCCAAAAAAAATTAAGGGGGCAGTGACCCGCAAAGGACAATGTGCCTCTGTCCCTGCTGGTCATTCTTAGGATAAGCCTTTGGAGAAAAAGTAAGTGGCCTTCTTCTTTTCCATTTACTATTGATTTTGTTCAATATCCTAGGTTATTGCCCATAGTCACTTGCTAATTGCAAATGTGCTGCTAGTGTGTATACTATTAAGCTTTAGATTGCGTTAATGTTATTTGGTTGGTTGCTTGTAGTGGATACAGAGAATGTTTGACCCATTGCAGTGTTTTTTTCGATTGATCGATTGTGGGTAAGGATTTTTGTCTGGTGGAAGATTTTGGTTCTGTTGTGTTGTTGTTGTTTGTTTCCATGGAGTTAGTGACAGACAAATGTTCCAAGGCTAATAAGGATGTGGCTTACTCTTTCAAAGAATATGAGGATGAAGAGGTTTGATTTTCAATAGGGTTATGATTTTTGGATTTTTGGATTTTTGATTTTGTGGAGGTTATGATTTTTAATGGGGTCATGATTTTTGGGTTTTTGATTTTTAGAGGTTAGGGTTTTTAGAAGGAGGAGGAGGAGAAGAAGAAGAGAGTTGATGGCAAGTTAATTGTCACGTTAACAAATAATTAACGGATGTAACAGCAGAGACATAAATGAAAACGAACTAAAAGTTCGATGATTATATTGTAAGTTTCAAAAGTTGATTGACCAAAATTGTCACACCCAAAGTAGGGCTTAAAATTTTTCTTTAATTCCAGTCGACTCTAATTTTAGCCTTATTCTTTAAAATTTATTGACTTTTTTTCGATACCACATATCCTAAGGTTTTTTGATGTTCTGAGTTTGATTTTGTGGTTCATTTCACCAAATTTCAACCTGAATGCCCCGAATCGAGATATTTAATTCCAAATTGCTTAGAAATTCTAGCTTTTTAGCTTGTTTATCAGTGATTTAAGTATATAATTGATCCGATGTTATATTTTTGTGAAGGTACACGCGTTTCCCCTGGCCGAGGTTCGATTCAATCTAGTACGACACGTTCTTCGAGAGCTACCAGTAGGTTCTGTAACTTGTTAAATTAGGAATTATTATTATTTTGCTAGGATTTTAACCTACTTTCCGATTCGTAGGATATAGCGTTGTTGTCGACCATCTTAGGCAAATCTGTTAGTGGATTTCTGTAACATACTACTCAGACCGGTTCAGGTGTGTTCTTGTGGTGTTACAAATCTGTTTTAAACTATTTGGCTGAATTGATTTGAATTTTCTGATGATATTAAACATTCTAAATTGCAATACATCTGTTTAAAATGCATTTTTGACTTCTGATATTTGATTTTTGAATATTATGATATGATCTTTGGTTATAGTATTTCTTGGTCTGAAATGATTTTATGTTTTCACTGTCATTAGGGGAAATATGTTTGGAGGAAGTGTTCAAGCATAGTCTTTTAACTATTAAGACTTTACCACATACACCTCTGCTTTGTGCACAGGTTAAGACCTTAAAAGAGATTTG